CACACACACACACACACACACTCTCTTCTCCTAAGAGACCAATCTTCATGAGTAGCTGAAAAAAATTACCGTCTGGTGGCCAGCTCTCTGCTGATAATGGGCCTCTTCAAGCTTAGCTGGACTGGTCCTCAGACAGTAGACAAAGTTCAGTTGTTCAACCTACCCTTGACCTTTCCAGCTTGGGGACACCTGCCAGAACTCACCTACCACTGCTATAGCTTTTAAGGATCCAGGGTCACCTCTGTACCACCCACATTGGGACATCAGAGGACAGAAGGACATAAACAGATAAATAATACAAGCATGGGTATGCTAGATGCCAGATAAGTGGTAGCTGTGCCACTTCCTTTCTCTGATTCTCAATTTCCTCATCTATAAAATGGGCACAATAATATTTGTCCTCCCCAGCTCTTAGAGTTATTGTGAGAAAAACATTTTGCAAACCTAAAAGTGCTGGAGGAATAGGAACTGTCATGACTTGGATTATTACAGATAGTCAGCATTGTAGAATTCAAGGGAAGGAAAGATGACGGAGTCTTGGAGCTGGAGTCTTGCCAAGGTCTTTCTAAGTGACAAGTCACTTTATCTCCCTGTGTCTCAGTTTCCTCATCTGTAGAATGGTGATAATAATCCTTGCCCTACTTCCCTCATAAGGCGTGTGTGTTGGGGCAGGGCTGGCTATTAAAAGATGTAATGGATAAGAAAGGACATTGTAGACAATAAAATGTAATTCAGATGTATATTATTACTATTCCTGTTACTATCATATTATGGTCATGCATATTGAACTCCCCTCTAGGAGATGGGATATCAAGAGCTAATCGTATTTGCTTCTGTCTTTCCTAGGACTGCAGAACACCCACCTCTAAATGACACAAAATCTCCAAGAAAATTCGGCTCCACGGCCCTAGCAACCATCCCAGTCTCTTCCATCAGACAGAGCCCCCTGTACACCATCCCTTCTGACCCAGCTGAAAGAGCTCCGCAGAGCAGAACTAAGTGTCATTAGAAGACTTCTGTATCGTGAGATCTTTCCCTTTGTTCTCTAACCCTCCACTGCAAGATGGCAGAAGCCTAGGCCCAGCAGCATCTGGCCTCTCCAGCTCAGCCCATCCAGGATTCCATGGAGCATCCAGTACCATCTCCTTGAATTTTTAACTTGTGCCCGGCCCAGCCCGTCACAGGATGAGCCTAGGTTCCAGCCCAGACAACCCAAGGCCTTGCCTGGCAACCAGCCCAACCAATCAGAGGCCCTGCATTGAATACGGAGTGGCCAATCCCAAGCTTTTTTTCTGAGGTCCAGCAGTTCAGTGCGGAAACAACCTGGCCCAGCTCAGACTGAGATCCGGGGAAACATTAGAATCTGTGGCCCCAAGAGTCATAGGGATCCATGAGCTGGTCTCCAGCCCCTGAGACCATCACTCAGCACAGGGTAATGGAAAGACTGCTGAACATGGAGTCCGAATACATGGGACCAAACGCCAGTTCTGCTACTTACTACCTGTGTAACTTTGGGCAGGTCACGTCTTCTCTCAACCTCGGTTTCCTCATCTGTAAAATGAGGGGTTTAGATTAGGCCATCCCTAAGGTCCCTTCCAGTTCTAAAGCTGATGAGCCTTTTCTCCATCAGAGCCGCACCCCAATCCTTCCAGTCACTGGGTGATTTCGTGGAGCAAAAGCACAAAGTCCGAAGAGACAGGCCCCTCCAGGGACTGTTCCCGGTGGGCCACGAGGGCCCCTTCTGAAGCAGAGCTGGCTGACGCAGAGGCATTGGAGGCCGGGAAGAGGCTGCTGGGTGCTAGAGGTAGGTGGGAAACAGAGAGCGCTGACCTGATTTATGCCATCCTTGGTGGGAAGTAATCACACTCAGGCTCCCAGCACAGGAGGACCCAATTCATCTCCCCACAGGGAGCCTCCCTGTGGGATGTTTCAGCCCCTCCAGCAATGATTACTGAATAACTTAATCCAAGTTCCCAAAGGCAGATGGGCCTTGTATGAGAACCCATATGGAATTATTAAAGCCTCTTCCTCACTGATAACTTGTCCAGACTTCAGGCAATGCATGTCAGAGGAGAAAGATGGGTCGGGGAGCAGTGAACAGACTGGAGATGAGCAATGTTTTAAATTCTCATTGTTACTAACTTTACTGGCAACTAGTCATAGAATCACAGAATCTCAAAGGCCATTCCCTATCCAACCCATTGCTGGCAGGAATCCCTCTAGTATGTCCCCATGAGTGGTCATCTTGCCTCCACTTAAAGGCTTCCAATGGATGGGACACTCTGGGCGTTTGTCCTGGCTGACCCCCAGGCCTGGAATACTCTCCCTCCTCATCTCTGCCTTCTCACTTCCCTGACTTGCCTTGAGTTCCAACTAGGTGGTGTAGTGGTTAGAGCACTGCACTTGAGTCAGTAAGACCTGAAGCTGTATGACCCTGGGCAAGTCACTCATCTTCTTAGTCTCAGTTTCCTCAACTGTCATATGGTGATTATAAAATATAGTGTTGTTGTGAGGCTCAAATGAGATGTCTGCAATGCATTTTGTCAACCTCAGAGCGCTATATAAATGCGAGCTAGGCCTCCTAGTTCTTTTACAGGAAGCATTTCCCAATTCCCCTTAATTCTATTGTCTTCCCTCTTTTAGTTATTTCCTATTGACCCTGTCCATAGCTTGTTTGTACATATTTGTTTGCCTGTCTCCCCCAATAGATTGTGAGCTCCTTGAGGGCAGGGACTGTCTTTTGCCTCTTTTTGTATCCCTACCACTTAGCACAGTGCCTGGCGTGCCGTAGGCACTTAATAAATGTTTATTGACTGACTGCATCCCTCATGCAAAACTAGAAGCAAGCATGAAATTTAAGCTCAAGGGGGAAGAGCTTGCTAACAACTAGAACTCTCCAATACGCTGGCTCTTTACAGGGTTTTAGAACTGAAAGATACCTTAGAACTAAGCTAGGCAACTCCCTCCTTTCACAGATAGAGAAATAGGTGTGGAGAAGAGAATGGATTTGCCTAAAATTACACAGGTGGTACAGAGTGGAGCTAGGATTAGAACCCAGGTCCTCAGTGTTCTTGCCACCAAGCTCTTTATTATTAGAAGGATCTAACAAAGGATAGATGACTGACCATCTGTCAGCTGTTGTAACAGGAACTCCTGCATTGTGTGGGGACTGGATGAGAGGAAGGAAGGAGGGAGGAAGGGAGAGAGGGAGGAAGAAGAGGGAGGGAGGAAGAAAGGGAGGGAGGGAGGAAGGAAGAAGGAAGGAAGGGAAAGAGGAAGGGAAGAGGGAAGGAGGAAGGGAGGGAAGAAGGATGGGAGGGAGAAAAGGAGGAAGAAAGGAAAGAAGGAAGAGGAAGGAAGGAAGGAAAAGATTAAATTATTTCTAAGGTTGTTTCCAACTCTAGGATTCCATGGTAAGAAGTTTTTTGCAGCTGAGAACAGCACTAAGACCTGACTCTTATTCCATCAGCCAACAAAAATCCTTGTTGAGCACAATCTATGTGCCTTAGTATTGTGCTAGGGCCTGCCTTAAACAAAAAGTAGAAAGGCACAAAATTAAACTCGACATAATATCTTTGCCCCAGAAGTTCTGACATTCCAGCTGGGGAGGCAAAGATGCCTTAAATAGGTCAGAGAATAATGGAAGGCAGTGCATGATTCGCAGGCACAGAAGGTAAAAGCAGTGAGCTATTAGGGAGCAGTTAGTGTGGACCTGAGGAGGTGGAGTAGAGGAGGTAGGCCTTGAAGGTCAGGTGAACTTGAGATAGACTAGCTCACATTTATATAGCACTCTGAGGTTGACAAAATGCATTGCAGACATCTCATTTGAGCCTCACAACAACACTATATTTTATAATCACCATTTGACAGTTGAGGAAACTGAGACTAAGAAGATAAGTGACTTGCCCAGGGTCATACAGCTTCAAGTCTTACTGACTCAAGTGCAGTGCTCTAACCATTACACCACCTAGCTGCCTCCTAGGATCTAGAGCCAGAAGAAGCTTTAGAAACCCTCTATTCAATGCCCTCATTTTACAGTTGAGGAAACTGAGACCTACAGAGGACACGAGAAGCACAGTGTGAGTGAAGGTGGAGTGTGGGAGAGAAAGAAAGAGGAAACCAGCCTGAATAGATTGAGTAGAGGAGCTCCCCCGCTGGAGCCTGAGGAAGGCATGAGGGAGATAAAAGTAAAAGCATGGAAATTGTCTAGACCAGGGGTGGGAAACCTGCAGCCCTCCAGGTCCTCAGGTGTGGCCTTTTGACTGAATCCAAACTTCCGTGAAGAACTTGGAGACCTAGAGGGCCACATGTGCCCTTGAGGCTGCAGGTTTCCCACCCCTGGTCTAGAATATTGAGGTGCACAAATGCCAACCCAGTGCCAATGACGCGAAGGTGGGGGCTCAAGTTCAGGCAGGTCCTGGCAAGAGGGTACGGCTAAGGAGCAAGTGAGTCATGCCAAGTGGTGCAAAGAATAACCCAGAACTTGGCCTGTGTTCTGTCAAACACTCTCTGGTCTCTCCCATTGTGAGCGGACACATGAGTCAACTAGGAATAATATGTTCAAATTACCATAGGAATTACCAACTGACTTCTCCTCCTTTTATTCCCACCCCCTCCACACACACACTCTTGGCACAGCTAGGCACATAGTAGGCATTCAGAAAAGGATGAATGAATGGGTGGATTGAGTGTATTTGGTAGAATTTACCACTGAAGGAAGCAGTGCTGGGAATTTTGACATAAGCCCCAACTCCTTTTTTGCTAATGGTCCACATCTCGACATCCTTTGTCCCCAGTCCTATCTTATCTGGAACCCTATGTCCCCTGGTCACACCCCTAGCTCAGCACTGGTCTTCCCAGTACATCCATTGGCCAGAATCCCTAGGATGGGCTACAGCAGTGGAGTCAAACTCAAATAAAAACAGAGGTCACTAAACCATACAGAAGAATCCCATGTATTAACTTAGTTTTAATAGGTAATGGTATCTGTTTGTTGTATTTTTATTTATTTTGTTAAATATTTCCCAATTACACTTTAATCTGGTTTGGGCTATACTCAGTAGATTTGTGGGCTGCATGTCTCACCCCTCTGGGCTCTCAAAGAGTGTTATTCCAGAATCCACCACCCTGATCCCTGAGCACAGAGGCCACCCCAAGGCTGATGGGCCTGAGCCACGCCCTGGGCCAGTCAGATAGTTCGCTCTAACAGCTCCCCTTAAGGTCTCGTGACATAGAGTGGTCCTTTTTCAGTGTCCGCCCATCCTTGTTCCCTGTTCCCATCAGTGAGGAAGAGAGGAGGATACTGAGACACAGCTATGGATCTGGGGTGTAGAGAAATCTAATATTGAACAGGGTACGCTGACCGTGGTGTTTTTCAATATAGGATGCTGGTCCCTTTGGATCAATTCCAAGCCTTGGACCAGGAAGAAGAGAAGCAGAGTCTTTAAGAAGTACTGCACCACGGAGCCCCTGAGCCTCTGCCTGCTGCCCCCAGAGGTGCTATATCCTGAGCAGGACTCCAGGCAGTGAGGACCCCTCCGGCCAGGAAGCACCCACAGTCCTTGCCCCAGCTCTTTTGGGAGTCGCTCCCTCCCATAGCTCCATCTGGGGCAACCGGCCTGCCACACCAGCTTCTAGCACTGAAGAGACCCCCAGCTGTATGCCAAGGACTGTGACAGCCTGAGAAACTCCTCTCTGGCCTTGGGGCCTGGCTCTGAAGAAAGACATGCTCCTGCACCTGGAAATGAGGCTAGAGAGACCCCATCATCTGCTCTTCCCGTGGACCATGGGGCCCAATTGTCATTTTTTTCTTTTCTAAAAATAGAGAGTTCTTTATCAGATTTCATTTCATTTGTATATGTTTGATACTGGTTTTGTAGATACCAACTCTCATCCCTTTCTGGGGATTTTATTCCTGGGGAATGATCATTTTAAATGGGGATTTTATTCCTGGGTAAGCATTATCGGAAAGAAGCAAGTAGTTCTTTCAGTCAGTAGGGAACATCTCTGGCCACCCTCCCTCTGTCTCCAAGACCACCAAACATGGTCCACTTAATCTTCAGAGGCCCCCTGAGGACATGGGCCATCCCTACCCCTGGAAAACCAGAACCTCACCACCAGAGGGGCTATCACTCCTCACCCTCACTCGACCCCAAACAGTTTAAAAGGCAGAGCACAGTGAGGACTACACTGGAAGGCCTAGTATCCAATTTAGCATCCGGGGACCAGGGGCAGACCCCTTACTCTGTTACCCTCTTTCTCTGTGACCTTGAGCCCCCATTTTACAGGTGAAGAAACTGAGGCCCAGAAAAGAAAAGTGACTTGCCCACAGCCACACAACTAATCTGTAGAAAAGCCAGGACAGACCTGGAGGTTGCAATCTGCCCCTGTGGAGAGAGTACCCAAACCAACTGAGTCCCAGAAATTTGAAGTTGAAGTAAATAATAGCAATAAAATATTGAAAACAACAACAATAAAATATCATTATTCACTTCAATTTCAATTGCATTGTATTATATAAGCATAATATGGTATAGTATAATATAAATTTATTGTATATAATATGGTATATTAGTAATCTGTGGTGTTATTGTTCTATTATATTCTGTTGGTGCAATGAAAAATGTCAGAGGACCTGGGTTCAAGCCCTCCTTCTGATATTTACTCCCTGTGTGACATTGAGTAACTTTGCTGGACTTCAGTTTTCTCCTCTGTAAAATGACAGGGTTGGATACCCTCTGAAGTTCCCTACAGTTTATATTATATTATATTATATATATATATAGCTATTAGGCTGTGTGGTGTAGCGGATAGAGAGCCTGTCTAGGATCCAGGAAGACCTGGGTTCATGTCCAGTCTCTGACACACACGGTAGTGATCCTGGACAAGTCACTTAACCCTCAGTGCTCTGGGTAACTCTCTAGGACTGAAAGTTGCAGAGAAGTTATCAACCTGCATTAGCAGAGTGAGTTTTCTCATCTGGGAGTTCCCTATGCTGATGAAATCCCAGGTCCAGTCCTCCCATATTTTATTATATTATAGATATTGGCCCCTATATGGCATCTTACTTCCTCTAACAATATTATTATTATTATTATTATTATTATTATTATTATTATCTTCTACTTAGATTGTATTATTCTTATTTGCATCGATTTCTAGGACCTGAGATTTTGTCATTGTGGGTTCTTCTCTCTACTGATGCAGATTGAAATTCCTCTGCGCCTTGGTAGATGAGCTTTAGGAATTATTGGGGCTGAAAAATTCATCACCCTTAGGCCAAGCTGGTGATGAGCCTCCTGGACAGCCAGGCATGTCCTCAGATAAGATCCCAGATGAATCCATCCTCTGGCTGCTACACAGAGTTTTCCCAGCCCAAGACCATGTGTGGCTGACATTGCCCGGAGCTGCCTCCACACTAGCGTAAAGCATGGAAGGTTCATTGATTGATTCACTTTAAAGGATTAATATTAATAACCGCCTGAACCCTCTTGGTTCCATTTCAATGCAATAAAAAGTAGGTGGGCATCTATACGCATCATCACGGGAATGCTCTATAAACAGGGGGCTGAGGAATCTCGGTAACAAACCTAAGCAATCTTCTGGGATTCAGGACGGGCCCTCGATGGTCTGGGGAGTCCCCAAGGGGCTCCAAGCCAATCCCAGAACTAATCAGAAAGTTAATGAAGCTGCATTATGATCATGTTCCCTTGAGGGGCCTGCCTTTCTCCTCCAAAGGCCATTGATGAAAAAGCAGAAGGAAAGTAGACCGTTGGGATTCTAATCTGCTCAGACAAGGAGTCACTGCTGATTTCCTTCTCTCCAGGCTGCAGGTCCTCTTACATCCTTCTCTCCCCCTCCCTTCCCCCCAGCCTTCTGTCTTCCCAGGGATTCCTGGCTTGGGGTGTCCTCAGTTCTCAGGGGAGAGTGGCAGAGAATACTCAGACATCATCAAGAAAAATTCATGGTAGTGCTGGTTGCCTCTTTAAGCTCAGGAGAGACCACAGTCTTTCCTGGTTGGGTTGGGGCTGTCTTGGAACCCCAGAGAAAACAAGCATGAAAAAGTCCTGCCTTTCTGCCACTGTCACCCTGTGGAGTCAGCTGCTACCCCAAGAGTCTGGAGATCACTGTCCTCCTTGGCCTATCTGACCTTTCCCTTCTCTCCTGTTGTCTTCACATGAAGCCTGGGGTCCATTATTGACCTGACCGTATTCATATTCCTTTAAAAAATACATCAGTGGCTTTTGTCTTTACAGTCACATTCCTTCATCTCCTGGCCTCCTCCTCCTCCACCAGTGCTCCTCACTCAGCTCAGGCCCCTCTTGCATTGATTGCCTGCCCTGAGCAGTAACTCCTCAGCATCAGAATGTCAGCACCAGAACCTAATCCAGGCCCTTTATTTTACAGCTAATAATATCATCTATTTCCATAATGCTTCCAAAAGATTTCCTCATAACCATGTAGGGAGTGTTAAATATTGTTGTCACCATTTTATAGATAGGAAAATTCTGGCCCAGAGAAGTCAAAAAACTTGACCAAGGTCACATACCTGGGAAGTCCCAAAGTTAGGACTTGAGACCAGGTCTTCTTATTCCATAGCCAGCGTTCTTTCCATTATCCCTATGGCATGGTGTCCCCACACTCCCACTGTTGACATGCCTGTCATCCAAGTATTAGCCTAGCTAAAGTCAAGAAGGCTTATTGCTGTTTTGGTCTCAGGATGATTTTTTTTTTAACCACAGCAACCCTGAAAGACTCTCTGTGAAGTTAGAGAAAGGTCAAGATCTATGTGAATGGAGGGAGTACCCACAATAGTGAGATCACAGATGCTCAAAGGATTGAATTACCCAAGGGGACTCTCCTGGAAAATTATCCCAGTTAGAACTAGGTCAGAGGAGATGTGAACAAGAGGGCTGGATTCCTAGAGCCAGGGAAAGATAGCACTGTGCTTAGGACCCCATCTCCCAGTTCCAAGCCCCTACAACACTGGTCTCTTCCCTTGAATTCCTTGTTGTTTGCTGGGCCGCCATCTTCCTAACTCCAAGGCTCTAAGACTAGCAGTCATTGACACTTTCCTCACACAGTCAACCCTTGATCTTTCCTTCCAATGTCACTCACATCCATCCTTTACCCTTATGGTCACAGAACTTCAAATCAAAAAGGGTCCCTAGGGCATTGTCCCTAGGACACTGAATGTCAGAACTCAAAGGAATCTTAGAGATAATCAAATCCAACATCATTTTATAGAGGAAACTAAGACCCAGAGAGGGGAAGTCACTTGCCCAAGGCCCAGTGATAGAATTTAAAGTAGAACTTACATTTCCTGTCCCCAAACTCTCATTTCCTGCTCACAAAGTTCTTGTGAAGTTTCAGAATACTACAGGCAAGTCATTACAAAATGAATGTTGCTGGAGGGTTTGAATATTGACTATATTTAAGCTCTACAAGTAAGTAACTTTTGCAAAATGATTTTCCTTTCCATTTCAACGTTTATAGAAATCTATGTCAGTACAAATTCTTTACAAAATAAATATACAATTTATAAAATAAAACAAAAAATTGTGGGCTCTTAATAAGCCCAATTCTTCAACCTGTGAGTCTGAAATGCAGTTTACATAAACCCAAGGAGGAAAGCCTCTTCTATTTGTGTTCAGTGAAGACAATCCCTGTCCCTTTTCCATAAAAAGAAAAGCTGATGAAGCAAAAAACAAAAACAAAATGGAATTTGGATTCAGGACACCTGGTTTTGAATTCTGAGGAAGAGAAGGAATAATAACATGACTCTGGAATGTCATATCTCCTTTCTGAGCTTCAGGTTCCTCCTTGGAAGGTGAAAGAGTTGGACGTAATGACCTCTAAGGCATTTATATCTTTAGGTATAAACCCAGTGAGACTTTGAATGGGTCTACTGTTTTTCTCTGAAGTTTCCACAGTGGAAGACCAACCACAAGAGCTCTTAGGAATTCTCCTAAGAGTAGAACAGACCCCTGGACACAGCAGCTACAATAACAATAGCTCATATTCAATTGTGCTTTAGGATTAACAAATCATCTTCCTTACAACTAGCCTGTGAGGGTGGCAGGATGTAGCAATCAATACTCCTATTTTGCAGATGATGAAACTGAGGTTCAAGGAAGATTAGTGACTTGCCTGGGGTCACACAACTGGGAAGGGCCTATTGTCTCAGAAGGCATTCTAATAGAAGAATGTCAAAAACCATCACTTAAAATGCCAAAATAGGCTCTCCAAAGAATTATGATGGACCTGTTATTCTTTCAGCCCATATTGGTTGATTGCTAATTGGCAGCCATTGCCATGCCTCTTTCTCACACCTCAAAGCATTTTAAGAAGGGTAGCTCAAGCCTTCCTCTTCCCACATGCCCCAGTCATGAGTCTCTCTGTCTGTCTGTGTCTCTGTCTCTCCGTCTCTGTGTCTGTCTGTATCTCTCTGTCTGTCTCTGTCTCTTTGTCTCTGTCTCTCTCTGTCTCTCTGTCTGTCTTTGTCTCTGTCTCTCTCTCTCTCTCTCTCTCTCTCTCTCTGTCTTTTTCTCTCCCTGCCTGCAACTTTCCTTAATACTTTTTGCAACCCCTGTTCCTTAATACATAATTAGTCTAGTTGCTACGTTTGCAGCACTGGTTATGGTGAAGAAACACATAGGAATACCTAAAAATGTGCCTGCACTAATGGCACAGCCATGGGGGTTCCCAAGGACTCCACTCCCGAGCAGTCAGAAGCATCTTCAGGAGTTTTTGTGGCCAAAGAATACACTAATGAGCTAACCTCTGAACTAGTGGTGGACGTGTGACCAATCATTGGCATGTACTTGAAGCCTTCCCAAGCTCTGGGAAGGTTAGCTGCACCATCATAATCCAGGATCATTTCTACATCACAGTGAGCCACTAAATGAGACATTAAACAGAGGTATGTATATGGTAGAAAAAAAACATTGATGTGGGGCACAAGTTAATGAGTTTTCCATGCCCCTGCCTAAACAGTTGGGCTGTCTCTCAGAATCCTAGGCAGTGGGATGTAAGGTAAGAGTAGAATGCTGAGTCAGGATCTCTGGATTCTAGTCTCAGCTCTGCCACTAACCAGTTGTGGGGTCTTGAAGTCACTTGTTCTCTCCGGGCCTCAATTTTCATTTTTGGGGTCATATTTGACTAGCTTATGTCTAAGAAGTTGCAGTTTCTGTGATTCTTTTTAATAGAAATCCTGCCTCAAACCCTTGTAAGAAATCAACCTCCAACTTTTCTCCTCGAAAGAAGGGGATATTGGAATTGAGTCTAGAATCTGAGATGTCCTGAGATGAGGATGAATTCCACTCGAACCCTGAGGACCTGATGGGTTACCATTTAATTACTACCATTCCTCTCCCTTAGAATCCACATAGAGAAGTGGGAGTGGGGCACACTGGGGATGAGACTGCCTACTGGTCCCTTATCAAAGGGAAGGGGAGGTCCAGGTATCTTTGAATATGACTTGGAAGCTACCTAAGG